TGGAAGCTTGGGTCTTCGCCGCATTCGAGACTGGGAAATACTTGGGTCTTGTGAACGCTGGTCGGACTTCCGAGTCTTGGATCAAGGCGTTGTCTGCCAAACGCAGACGGCAACCGCTGGTCTCGGACATGAAGGCCGTCACCGTATCGCCCAAGTTGCTTCCGGCTGCTGCATACGTCGCTGTGCTCCAGACCATGTTAATGGATGCCGGCTTCGAGTTTCGCAATGTGATTCCTACGTGGAGTGAAGTCCGTGCGGTGTCCGAGGTGTCTGAGAATCTGATCCGCCGAGGTGTTGAAGAAGTTCAACTCAGACTCGCAGTTGCGAGTCTTGAGTGGAACAAGCTGATGGATGGCGTAGGGTTTCACATCCGACAGCCGCTGGAGCCTCTCCCAGCTGTGCGACTCTCCGAGCGAAGTACAAGTTCCCCGACTGATGGCGATGGAGACGTCCTAATGACGGACGACGCCGTGGAACTGCTTGGCGAAGAATTGTTTCGCCGCTTGAGGATCACGCGGACCAGAAGAAGAAGTCCTGCTTCAAGCGTGTCCGGACAACCAGCGCCCAAGCGTGCGGTCTTTGAAGCTGAGCGATCTCCGCCCAGTTCCCTGATGCCTCCGACATCGTCGTCCCAGAGTCTGGTGCCCCAACCATCGGTATCCCAGAACGTCGTGCCTCGGACTCAGAGCCTAGTCCCTAGAGCTCCAAGTCTTGAGCTGATGGCGAGTGTGGACTCAGTTCCTAGTCTGGTGGGACCAAGTGGTGCTTCCGACGAGTCGATGAACGCGGCCGCTGAAGGAACAGACCTGTCGGGGCACAGCTCCTCAGGATCGTGGTTCTTGTCCGCCGCGGACTACATGGTTGGCAGTGCCTTGAGTCATATGCCTGGACCAAGCCCGATGGCGATGGTAATGATTGCGCAGGAGAGCGCGGCTGCGGCAGCTGCCGACCCGGGTTTCGGTGTCTCGGCAGGTGCTGTGTCGTATCCAGTGCCGGTTTCAGCACGCCCTGCACCTTCGCTGCAACCCCTTCAGGAATCGCCTGCGCATGTACCGCTGCCCGAGTCATCAGAGAGCAGCGCAAGTCTCCAGCGAGAACACTCGACGCAACCTGCTCCCGGGTTGCATCCAACGTCGTTGCCCCCTCCAAGCTTCGTGTCTTCCACCACACCCGCAGCCGGCATGAACCGTGGTGTCTCCACATCAAGTGCTATGCCACGGACTCAAGCCACTTCGACAAAGGTCGCGGACCCGGAGTCTGAGAAGAAACCACAGAAGTCCGTGCATTCTGGGAAGTCATCGCGATCCCGGAAGTCCGCCGCGAAATCTGCGTCGTCCAAGTCTTCGATGTCAGGAATCTCCTCTCGTGTGTCGTCCTCCAGGTCGTCGCGTTCCGGCGCGTCCGAGGTCGCCCTAGGCAGCAGGAGGCCGCCCTCAACCAAGTACGCGCCGACATGGCTGACGAGTTGCGTGGCATTCGCCTAGACAACCAGCAGCAGACCGCTTCCCTCATGGAGCGTCTTCAACGGAGCGAAGTAGCCCTTGCCGCCGAACGTGAGTCCCGCCGTCGCGACGCCGAAGTTGCTGAAGCTCGGGTTGCTGCCGCGGTGAAGGTAGAGCAGTCCCCAGTACCATCGTCAGTGCCTGCACCCGAGATGGGGCGCGGCACACTTATTCCCCCCGAAGCGCCATTGCCGAGTGCGGCCCTGGACGCCGCCACCGCTGCGGTGTTGGCGGCAGCCGAGGAAGTGAAGGCAGAGAGTGAGGGCATCGCGCAGAGCACGAAAGCCCATTTGGCCGCGTTCGAGGACCAGTTGCGCAATGTCACGTCCGCGTATCTGCAGAAGTGCGCCCTGACCCAGAAGGTTCAACGTGAGAATGATGCTCGCCTAGGTCAACAATCGACTAGTGTACCTGAATCTAGTGGAAAAGCCACCGCGACGAGTCGCACTTCCTGCGACAAATTTGCGGGACGGTCGCCCACTTATATCGGGCAACAGCAAGTGGCCGCGGATTCGCTGGCAGCAGCGCAGCTTCAAGCGACCATACAAGCTCCAAGTCAAATTGTCAAACGCGAGATGGGACCAGGCGAGACGAAGCCGACTGAGACACGTGAGACAAGGTCAAGTGAGACGAAGACACGTGCGACTGGCGGGACGGGGTCAAGTGAGACCAAGCGGGGAAGGCAGCCGAAGGCTGCGTCACAGACTCGGTCCAGTGTCGCTGCAGTCAAGGAAGAAAACTCGGAAGAGACCAAGAGCTCAGCGAAAGGTGTCGCTCGGGACTCTGCGAGTGGGAGTGGCTATGTCCCCAGATATTCTGGGAAATTAACTAATAAAAAGTCTTCCCAGAAACACAAGCGTGGAAAGAGGATCCGTCGCAGTAAGCGACCAGGTGGCGATCCCTCATCGTCAGATTCAAGTACAAGTGGCAGCTTGTCTAGCAGCGAGTCCAGCTCGGGCTCCGACTCCGACTGGGAGCGCGGCCTTGCTGAGGAAATCGCCCCTGCAACAGTACCAGCCGCTAACGGCCAATCGTACACGTTCCGCCCGTATATCCAGTATGGGGCGGTGGAGATGTTTGATCCCCACGCCAAGCTCGAAGACCGCGTGAACTGGTGGGAGCGGTTTGTCTACGCTGCTGCGTTGGGAGTCTGGCCGGAGAAGATGAAGTTGCGTCAGATCCTGGGCCGACTACCTGCCCCGCTACGTGTATGGTTCCGCCAACTACCCGAGAAGGACCAGAAGGACTGGTCGCGCTTGTCAAGCTGTTTCGCAAGGAGTACTGCCGCACCAAGGCGTCCCCGTACGACCGCTATTATGAGTTGGGACCGGAGAATGGCGAGTCTGCGCGATCGTTCCTGTATCGACTCAACGCTGCAGCCAAGAAGGCCGACGTCGAGTACGAAGACTCTCCGAGGAACTCCACATCCGTCGCTTTATCAAGAAGCTGGCGGATCGTCGTCTGAAGATCACAGTACAGGGACAAACGTTCAAGTCGATGAAGGAACTCGAGAAAACTCTCAAGCGTATCGAAGCGGTGCAGCGTGATGATGGATATGAGACGCCTCCACCTCCAAAGATCCGCGATACGAAACCTAGTGGTGTGAGATTTAGTCAATTCCCTCCTCCGCGTCGAACTCAAGGTGAACGTGCGTACTTGGTCGAGAACCTGGACTCGGAGTCAGAAGACAAGGCTTCCCCGCCCTCGGACTCCGAAGAGAAACCAGAACCACGTTATCTCCCGGGAACTCCGCCCCCGTCCATGGGGCGTACGGTGAATTCTGAGAAGATCAACGTAGCCCAGGCTTCTGAGACTATCGCTCAAGTACCCAGACCCCCGACGACCGAGGAGGTGTTCCGTGCTGCTGAGCAGATGGGTTGGCGCCCTCCAATTCCACAAGCGCGACCACCATCTCCATACCGAGACAACTCCCAAAGAACTCCCTTCTGTGAAAATTGCCGCAGTTTTGGGCACGACGCTCAGAATTGTTGGCGGGATCTGATCTGTGACCGATGCCATGAAGCTGGACACCCGACATATAAGTGCTCGCGTCGCCCATGTTCCAAGTGCGGAGACTTTCACCGTGAAGGGCTTTGTGCCGATTGGGCTGCTTTGAAGGCAGTCCGGGAATTGGCGCGACAAGGAGCGCTGCAAGACTTGCCGACCGAAGCTCTGAAGCAACTGATGAGAGAACGAGAGAACAGCCGGCTAAGTCTGGGACGTCGTTAAACAACTAGGCTCGCTGGGTAGGGACCCAGTGCGTGTCGAGCCTAAGTACCAAGCGTATTGCGCTCTTGCATTTGTCGGTCCAGAACGTAGGCACCAGATCGGTAACCCACAATGCATGACTGCCATTGCATGTGAAGATGAATCGCTGTTGGAATCGCGCCCGGTTTCTCGAAACTACGTTTTCCGAGGTTCTGCATTTGAAGATGAAGCCCCAGTGGAATTCACATTGAACCCAGGAGAACGTTACAGGTGGTGGGCAGACCACGACTTGGATAATCAAGATGCAGTGGCATTAGTGCATGGGGCGACAACAACTATCGGACACACATCATTCTAGATTCCGGCGCCAGCACAACTATACTGAGCCCAGACCTTGCACGCAGGTTGAAGCTTAAGGTGACGTCGCACGCCGGACTCATGTGAAAGGTATGAGTGAAGTTAACTCTGGGAATGCGTGTGGTATATGTGCTGGACATATGGGTTGGAAACATTGGAGATGGATTCGCTTGTCTGCTGGGTATGGATTTCATGAAAGCGGCTGGAGTACGACTGTGTGCGCGTGAGCAGTTGGCTAATCTTCCGAATGAAGAAGACATTCCTCTGGTTGGAGAGAAGGAAGCTCCACGTTACATCTTAGAAGTCCCAATTTGTGTGCGTGAGCCGGTGTATTTGGCTCCTGGTGATTCGATCATTGTTCCGGTGCGGTATGGTCAAGCTGACGCTGACACAGCTGAGGTATGGACTGCCCGAGGGAGCCTGTGGGTGACGCAAGTGATCTACAGCTCCAGACGGCGGCCTGCTGCAGTTCGTGTGGTCAATATCTCAGAGAAGTGGACCCAGATCATGCAGCACACGGTGGTAGCAGCGTTGGTGGATACCACGAGGAGACCGCTTTGTTCAACCGAAGTCGCGTAAGTATCAAGAGTGGCAACAAGAGATTTACCAGAACACCCCTTCGCGGGAGTATCGGCGACGGGAGGAGCTGGAAGCACTTGAAGCCGAACGGAATGCCCCACCCGCAGTCCTGCGACCTCAATATGTTTGGCCGACGAAGATTTTGCCACGTCCACCTGAAGAAGTCCGGAAGGCTGCTGAGCTACAGAAATCTCGGAACTCGAGTGGCCGAGCCATGAGCTCTTCGGGTCAGACTGAGGAAAAGACCGGCAGTCACTCGAGCGCTGTTGCTGATGTAAAGATTCTGGATCTGGGCATTCTAACTGCCGTGGAAGTCACTCCCATGGACGAAGCCGAGGCCTCGCAGGCAGATGAGGTAGATCCTGCGAAGGAGCCCGCCATTGATCGGGATTCTGATGATGTCAACCGCGGACTGACTGGTGGAGGTACCAGTAGTACCGAAGCTCGACATGAATTGAAGAACGTGTTTCGCGCAGAGCCAGTCAAGATCTGTGAGGATGCCCTGGAGCAGCTGGAGGTGGCGTACGCGATTTGTCTTCGGGTGGTCACAGCTGACTTCGATCCTGATGAAGAAGTCTTCTTCCATGAAGGAACCGAGCTGTTGACGCAGTTACGAGACCAGTTGGCTGTACTCCCAGACTTGAAGGATCTCAGCCCGAAGGTGAACATGGATGAAGCTGATGTGGGTGTCGAAGGCAAGACCACTCCTGAGATGACCAAGGAGATGAGAGGTATCTTGGAATATCATCACTCGATCTTGCTAGGAGATGGAACTGCTGTCCCTGCACCTGTCAGAGGAGTTGTCTGCGACCTGGATGTTGGGGACGCAAAACCCATTGCCCAGCGCGCTCGTCTGATTGCTCCACGCTTCCTCCACTAAGTCTACGAGCTGATCAAAAAATTGTTGGAGACCGGACTCATCGAGACTTCGCATTCGGAGTGGGCCTCACCCATCGTAATCATTTTGAAGAAGGACGGCAGGGATATCAGACTTTGTATCGACTACCGGATGGTGAACCAGCTCATCAAGCTGTCTTGCTACCCGCTACCGTTGATAGATGACTTGCTGATTGGATTTGAAGCTGCGATGTGGTTTATGAGCTTGGATATCTCGAGTGGCTTCTGGGCGGTGCCCATGACCCAGAGGGCAAAACTCATTTCTGCTTTTGTCTGTCCTCTTGGACACTACCAATGGTTGCGCATGCCCTTCGGGTTGAAAAATGCACCCCTGATATACCAGCAGATGCTGAACAACTGTCTTTGGGGTTTTGTGCGACTATCGCCTGAGGAAGAAGCCAAGGTCGATCCCGATGTGCTTGAGTTTCTGGGAATTAAGGTAGACGAGCGAGCGGTCCCCGATTCTGGAGTGGAGATCCCAGCTCTGACAGATACAATGACTGTTTTCCACCGGAACATTCCAGCCCCAGTTTCAATGGGCCCAGTCCTGGGTAGAAGCTCATACATTGACGACATCGCCCATGGGGCGCCTACCTGGGACCAACTCTGCTCGGACCTGAACGCGTTGCTGTTCCGACTACGCTACTGGGGAATCTCCGTGAGCCTGCCCAAGAGCGAGTTCGGGAAGCTGTCTATTCCGTACCTGTCGCATGAAATCAGCGCCGAAGGCTTTCGAGCGAAACCCAAGATCGCGAAGGGTGTGAATGATTTGCTATTTCCGTCGACACTCAAAGGCGTGCAGTCATTTCTGGGAAGCATCAACTACTACAACAAGTTTATCGAAGGTCTTCCTGTTATAGCATCGGTGCTTTACGAGCTGACCGAGGAGCAAGTCCGGGAAGGACGAGACTTGGGGCGCGCCAAAGAGGCTTTCGAGATTCTGAAGAAAAAGATCGTCTCAACGCCGCTGTTACGACACCCGGACCGAGAGAAGGACTTTGTTGTGATCCTGCATGCGAATCCTTGGGCTGCAAGTGCTGTCTTGGGCCAATAATATGACGGTGTGATTTTTCCTGTTCGGTACACGGGCAAAACCCTCAATGAGTCTGAGATTAAGTATCATCCGGCTGAGAAAGAGGTGGTGGCGTTGTTGCGCGTCCTGCGAGTGTTTCATTGTATGCTTGCTGGGAGTCACATCAAGGTCTACACTCGTTACTCAGTCCTGCGGTGGATTTTCACTTCGTCATCATTGGAGGGACGTTGTCAACGGTGGGCCACCCTGCTCTCGCCTTGGGATCTAGAAATTCACCGGATTGCGAGGGACGAGGATGGCCTGGCAGCCATCATGGGCGCTGGGATTACGCCTCGTGAACATCTCGATAAAGTCCGGTCATTTCTGGGAAGCATCAACTACTACAACAAGTTTATCGAAGGTCTTCCTGTTATAGCATCGGTGCTTTACGAGCTGACCGAGGAGCAAGTCCGGGAAGGACGAGACTTGGGGCGCGCCAAAGAGGCTTTCGAGATTCTGAAGAAAAAGATCGTCTCAACGCCGCTGTTACGACACCCGGACCGAGAGAAGGACTTTGTTGTGATCCTGCATGCGAATCCTTGGGCTGCAAGTGCTGTCTTGGGCCAATAATATGACGGTGTGATTTTTCCTGTTCGGTACACGGGCAAAACCCTCAATGAGTCTGAGATTAAGTATCATCCGGCTGAGAAAGAGGTGGTGGCGTTGTTGCGCGTCCTGCGAGTGTTTCATTGTATGCTTGCTGGGAGTCACATCAAGGTCTACACTCGTTACTCAGTCCTGCGGTGGATTTTCACTTCGTCATCATTGGAGGGACGTTGTCAACGGTGGGCCACCCTGCTCTCGCCTTGGGATCTAGAAATTCACCGGATTGCGAGGGACGAGGATGGCCTGGCAGCCATCATGGGCGCTGGGATTACGCCTCGTGAACATCTCGATAAAGTCGCAGAATCCCTGATTACAAGGAAAGGACGAGTGACACCTGCCCCACCGATTAGTCTGGAGATGTTGGAAGAGGATTTCTCAGGTTACCTGCTCAGCTTTGATGGCGCTGCGAAGACGTCTACCAGGCAAGGTAGCTGTGGTTGTATCTTGTGGAAGCTACCAGAGTGGACTGTGGTCAGCGCGTGAGGTTACTTCCTGGAAGATGTGACGGTCAATGATGCAGAGTATCATAGCTTGATCAAAGGAGCGACACGGGCTATGGAGCATGGTGTTTGCGACTTGGTTGTCGTCGGTGACTCCCGAATCGCTATTCAACAGGCCCAAGAGTTGATCAACTGTCATCAACCGAACCTTCAGCGCCTGTTAAGTGAGTTCGATTCGGTTCGTCAGAAGTTCCAGTCTGTGAAGTTGATTCATGTGAAGCGGGAATTCAACCAGGCTGCGGACTATCTCACGAGTCGGACTCTAGCCGCTGGAGAATCACTGGTTATCGATGATCCCCTTGAGCTGTCGCATTTGCGTTTGGTGAATCGCATCCCTGAGAAGCTGGTGAAACAGTCTGAATCTGGAGTTGTCGATCCATTGGTCGAAGGCACTGCTGAGCGTCGAGTACTGAGAGCAGTCGTAGATGAGTTCCCAGATTATGACAACGCACCACTTTCTCTTGGCGCGCGCGTGCTAGCCGCTCTGACCCGGAGCCAAGCCCAAGCGGAAGTTCGTGATGCAGAGGAGACGGAGTCTGATACCCCAGGCATGACACCTTTGGAGTTCCAAGCAGAGCGCTGGCGCCGCATTAAGGCTCACCAAGATGGCGACCCATGGATGCGACAGTTGAAAGCTTTCCTACGAGGTGATCTCTCTGAACTCTCTGAACTGGAAGCACAGAGGATGGCGAAGATTGCTGACAATTATGTCTTGGATTCCCGAGACGTTATGTACCATCTGAGCCGATCGACTGCTTCTAGGCCAAGAGATGCACGAGATAA